GGAGCACCCTTAACCACCATGCCATCTGCCAGCCTCCAAGTTTCTGCCTTTAGTTTTTGTGAGTAACACAAGCATGGTTTTTCAGCAATCGCCCTGCTAGTAAACAAAGTGAAATAAACTCTCAGAGAATGCCCTGAGGATGCATGGCCGCACTCTTTGACTCCCCAGAGTAGCTGTTTAATTGTAAAACCAACAGCCAGGGGTTCAAGTCATTGCATGGTAGGCATGGGGTAGGGATGAAGGAGGAAAAGAAGAAACAATGACGACACAGATGTCCATGGAGGGGCAATTCTACGGTCAACACCAACTGCCAAGGTTTAAAGGGAGCCAGGAGGGACATGTACAGTGTGATACGACATGGACACGCTGGGCACGTATCCGAATATAGAAAGTGTCGCTGAGGACAGGAATTGCATCTACTCTTCTGTACTCTATAGCACTGAAGGACTAGCAAACTGGCTTATATCCAATTTATCAGTTCATATTTGAAAAAGAAGGGCACACACATGTATTCTGGCCTTTGAGTCCTAGAGAACACTCACTTCTGTACAGACAACATCTCTTACCATCTAGTGCTCTGCGTAGAATCTCGCACATGGAGTGGTTCTTGGGCCAGCCTGGGACAAAACAGATGTTCAAGAGAAACTGCATGGCCCCACTGGAGGCTGTTCTGTCGGTCCTGTTTGCAAGCCGGAGGTGTGAGCTCTGGAGAACTTCACAAAGACAGAGAACAGAGCTCTGTCACGGGGCTAAGAGGAACTTTACTCATCCTTGTGCACCCGAGGACAGTTTTAGGTCCCCTAAAGGGAACAGAGATCTGTTTTAGGGCTTCGGGTAGAGGCAAAGTTTATCATATGAAGTAGTAAGTAGATGGTCAAAAATGCAGTTGTTCCAGTCACAAGACCAGTGTGTGTCAGTTTCCAGGGACATAGGATGAGCCTATGAACAACATGAACTTAAGTGACTTGGGAAGATGAAAATAACTAAAAAAATCTACCCATTCACCTATTAGTACAATACATTATGACTCTTACTGAGCTGTGATAAAATATTTTTTCACACACAAAACTAGGGCCAGTCTGAGGTCTAGTGTTTAAGGTGTTTGGGTCCCACATGGCTGACTGTGTGGTTTGAGTCCCAGACCCAGCAGTTTGAGAAATATACTAGGTGAAAGTGCGTGCATGCCCAGAATCCTGAAAGAAGAGACAGAGACAGAGGAGGATGGAGAAGAGATTGTGGCATGACCATGCCCCATGGGGAGGAGGGGTGCATTCTCTCTCTCGCCCTCTCTTTCTCTGCCTTTCCGGCAAGCATACATACTCTCTGGCAAATTAAAAATATTTATAGAAAATTAAATGACAACTGTTCTCAGCAGAATGCTATCTATTCTCCTGCCCTCCCTGGCACCTGTGGTGGTTCAGCCTGTCTTTTGAAAGTTGTAACACCTTGAAAACCAGCAACTTCAGTTAGAAAAAGGAAGAAGAGACCAAATGTCCCAATAGGCTTGGAATGCTGGTCTTGCTTGGAAGTCTACCGGTCTTCCCTTGTCACACGCTCCGTCCTGCTCTGGCGGTCATCCTCAGGTTACGTTACGTCCCACCTCCCTCTCCCGTGCAGGCATGAGTTTTTATGGTACAGCCACACGTGCCTCCCCTCTCTGATTTCTTTTACAGATCACCTCTGATATCCAGGACATTTGAAAAGGAGCCTTTGGGGTAAATTTTATATCAGTGCTCTCAGAAAGTATTGTTACATTGTGATGTGTTTAGAAGAGTTGGCAGTGGGATGAGAGCAGGAGCCAAGTAGAGGTTTTTGCTATAGCTGTGTGAGCTCCCAGAGAGACAGAGAGAGAGAGCATAACTCACCCCCAGGGGAAATGGCCACCCCACAATTCCTTCTCCTCCAGGCTCCTCTCTGGATTTCGGGCAGGCACCCATGAACACCAGTCCAGCATCAGTTTTAAGCCACTGGGTCCAGGACTGGAACAGTGGTCGACTAGGTGGGAGTCCAGTGACGAAACTGGACTGCTGGTCTGGGAACCTACTGTTTAAATAATCAGGTTTCTACTATCAAGCTCACTTTATTGGCATAGACAAATGATTACCAAGTTGTTTTCATTAATCAAAACCATTAAGACCAAAAGCCAATATGGATGATCTGTCTTTGAGGGAGCATTGCTGTTCATAAATCATGAAAATTTCAAAAGTGGTCATGAGGTAAATTTAAGTACGGTTCAGTAGAATTTGACCTATTATGTGCAATTTTACTTAGTGTGAACTATGACTGCAGAGGCCCGGTTGCCAGTTTACTATACATGCAGAAACCTCAGATGTTCAAGAGAAACTGCATGGCCCCACTGGAGGCTGTTCTGTCGGTCCTGTTTGCAAGCCGGAGGCGTGAGCTCTGGAGAACTTCACAAAGACAGAGAACAGAGCTCTGTCACGGGGCTAAGAGGAACTTTACTCATCCTTGTGCACCCGAGGACAGTTTTAGGTCCCCTAAAGGGAACAGAGATCTGTTTTAGGGCTTCGGGTAGAGGCAAAGTTTATCATATGAAGTAGTAAGTAGATGGTCAAAAATGCAGTTGTTCCAGTCACAAGACCAGTGTGTGTCAGTTTCCAGGGACATAGGATGAGCCTATGAACAACATGAACTTAAGTGACTTGGGAAGATGAAAATAACTAAAAAAATCTACCCATTCACCTATTAGTACAATACATTATGACTCTTACTGAGCTGTGATAAAATATTTTTTCACACACAAAACTAGGGCCAGTCTGAGGTCTAGTGTTTAAGGTGTTTGGGTCCCACATGGCTGACTGTGTGGTTTGAGTCCCAGACCCAGCAGTTTGAGAAATATACTAGGTGAAAGTGCGTGCATGCCCAGAATCCTGAAAGAAGAGACAGAGACAGAGGAGGATGGAGAAGAGATTGTGGCATGACCATGCCCCATGGGGAGGAGGGGTGCATTCTCTCTCTCGCCCTCTCTTTCTCTGCCTTTCCGGCAAGCATACATACTCTCTGGCAAATTAAAAATATTTATAGAAAATTAAATGACAACTGTTCTCAGCAGAATGCTATCTATTCTCCTGCCCTCCCTGGCACCTGTGGTGGTTCAGCCTGTCTTTTGAAAGTTGTAACACCTTGAAAACCAGCAACTTCAGTTAGAAAAAGGAAGAAGAGACCAAATGTCCCAATAGGCTTGGAAGGAAATGCTGGTCTTGCTTGGAAGTCTACCGGTCTTCCCTTGTCACACGCTCCGTCCTGCTCTGGCGGTCATCCTCAGGTTACGTTGATGCCCACCTCCCTCTCCCGTGCAGGCATGAGTTTTTATGGTACAGCCACACGTGCCTCCCCTCTCTGATTTCTTTTACAGATCACCTCTGATATCCAGGACATTTGAAAAGGAGCCTTTGGGGTAAATTTTATATCAGTGCTCTCAGAAAGTATTGTTACATTGTGATGTGTTTAGAAGAGTTGGCAGTGGGATGAGAGCAGGAGCCAAGTAGAGGTTTTTGCTATAGCTGTGTGAGCTCCCAGAGAGACAGAGAGAGAGAGCATAACTCACCCCCAGGGGAAATGGCCACCCCACAATTCCTTCTCCTCCAGGCTCCTCTCTGGATTTCGGGCAGGCACCCATGAACACCAGTCCAGCATCAGTTTTAAGCCACTGGGTCCAGGACTGGAACAGTGGTCGACTAGGTGGGAGTCCAGTGACGAAACTGGACTGCTGGTCTGGGAACCTACTGTTTAAATAATCAGGTTTCTACTATCAAGCTCACTTTATTGGCATAGACAAATGATTACCAAGTTGTTTTCATTAATCAAAACCATTAAGACCAAAAGCCAATATGGATGATCTGTCTTTGAGGGAGCATTGCTGTTCATAAATCATGAAAATTTCAAAAGTGGTCATGAGGTAAATTTAAGTACGGTTCAGTAGAATTTGACCTATTATGTGCAATTTTACTTAGTGTGAACTATGACTGCAGAGGCCCGGTTGCCAGTTTACTATACATGCAGAAACCTAGATCATTTTTTTTTTAAAATCATCCCTCAGGGGTGATGGCCACCCTGCAATCTCTTCTCCATTCTCCATTTGGGATTTTTGGACACGCATGGGTGACCAGAATGTTGTTCAAGCCAGAGGGACCTGGACTAGAACCACGCAGTAGGAAATATGGGATCAGCCTAAGGGCCACGCCACCTGCTGGCCCAAGCCTTAGAACTTTTATTGCACTCTGGCACGGCATCTTATTTGCATGGATTGAATGTAATAAAAAAAAGGGGGGAATTGTATTTTGTATGCATCCTACTTTTTATTTTTCTAGTAATACTTTATCATCATTTTTTAATTTTCAGAAAACACCCACCTGGGATGGCTTGGAAACGCAAATCGGGTCCTTTACCGAAGAGTTTGAGACTAACGTAGGGGGTTACAACACATTCGCAGTACTAGAGAATAACGTTCTGCAATTGTGATTCCGAGGCATATTCTACATTTTATTACAACAGTCCCCACAACATTCTTGATAAAATCAACGTTCGCTTTCCCAAAGAGGTTTCTTTAGTAGGGGAAGGTCTGAGACCAGAAGCTGAGTTATAAAGTGGCACAGAGCCGGATGTGCACATCCAAAAGGGAGTGGAAAACTAAACTAATAACGCCCGGACTTCGGCTTCTACACCCAAACCCGACCCTCTCAGGTCAGGTGCCCTGGTTGGTGTAAAACCCAGTCGTTCCTGATAAAGTTCCAATCAGAGGCGTCAGAGCCTTAGAGCCTGACACCAACGCTCGGCTCCGGGAACGCCCCTCCAGCCTCCAGGCCAGGGCCCGCGGAACCGCCCATAGCGGGGCGTGGACAGCCGGGATTGGTTCGGAGCCCTGCGTCACGAGGCTCCGCCCCTCGGCCTACCTCACCTCACCCAGACTCGGGCGCGGCGAGCGGATGGCGAACTGCGATTGGACGCCCAGCACGGTGCTAGTGACGTAAGAGAGGCGGGGCCTGGCCGGGCCCTGATTGGTTAGTGTGCTCGAGGATGCCAGTGGGGTCTTCTGGCTCCGACAGCCGGGGCGGGTCTTTTGCTGCTCGACCTGAAGGTGCGCGAAATGCGGAAAGTGGTTTTGATCACCGGGGCGAGCAGGTGAGGCTCCCTTCTGGATTCCGGAGGTGGCACGGATCAGGGGTCTGAGGGAGCAGGAGTTTACAGTCCGCTGCGGACCGACCCCGGGAGCTCACGACCAGACCTTGTCCCGGTGGGGACTCGCTGGGACCCGCTCTTCTCTGGGTCTCCTTCCGCACGAGAGAGGGTAGGCCAGCCCCTTGCGGGTTCAGTCACTGTTACTTTGAATTACACGTGACTGTGGAAAGGAAAACCAGAGCGCCAGTAAGGAGCGTCCCCCTGATGACGGTCCTGTGGCTACCTAGGGAAGGGGCTTCCCGGGCGGTCGCCGCCCCTCCGCATCCTCTACCCCCGCTTCCCTGTCTGCCATCAGTGCCTGAGTTTGGCCTCGAACACCGGGCATGTCCTGCAGGCTAGGTGGTTTTATTCTGTGCAAGATTCTCCCCTCAGGCCAGATTTCAACATCTATGAGATTTAGGATGGGAGGCGGTGGGGAAGTGAGGGGAGTTGGGGGGCGATGGCGTGGCGGGGGCTGTGGGTTCTTACTCCATCAGGCCAGGCGCCGTGCACCTGACATAATCTTCAGCCACCAGAGCAAAGTAGCCTTTTCCTGTTCAGGCGTGGTGTGAGTGCAGAATAACCAGCTCCTGGAGATTTCAGGGTTGCTGTGTTGACCCCTCAGCCTCTTCTGTGGCCTGGTTTACGTCTCATGTGCACCTCCGTGAAGAAAATATGGAGGGTGAAACTGACCATTTTCCACCACTTGTTGCATGGAGTTTCGGAGGAATTAAGATGGAAGGTGTGTTAAACGTCATGTAGGATTTGTCCAATTTTAATTATTTAGCTAGCCCGTATTAACCAAGCCACGCACCCTATCTCAAATTTTTTTTAAAAAGTTAGGTTCTCACTTTGCCATGAACCTCCTGCCTTGTCTTCTCTAAGTTGCTGGGATTGCACGGGTGCACCACCACGTCCATCCTTGAGGTTGGACCAGGAATGGAACCCAGGCCCCTTATGATCCCAGCCTATGTGGAACATAGTATCTTAGCAGCGTGAACCACAGTGACCAAGCCAGTAGGGCACCTATATTCATTCAGAGATAGTGAAAGGGAAAGTGAGAAATCACCCCCTGAGGGGATGGCCAGGCTGCAGTCCCTTCTCCATTCTCCTTTTGGGATTTTGGGCATGCTGATGCATGTGCCTGGTGAGCCACTGAGTCTAAGACTTGAATCGTGTAGTTGGCCATGTGCGATCTCTCCACCTAACCACCATACCAACTGCTGGCCTGCCAGTATGTCTTTGAACGGTGTAGCCACCCCTGTTTCCCCTCCCTCCTATCTAATTTTTTTGATTGACAGAGGGTGAAAACACCCCCATTGGGGCACGGTCAGACCACAATCCTTTTACAGTCATTTCTCCTTCCCATTGTGGTTTTAGGCATGTATGTTTTTCAAGCTGCCAGGGCTGGGATTTGAACTGTGGTCAGTCATGTGAGATCTGGCTCCCTTAACTACAAGGCTACAGGCTGTCCTGGTCCCCATCTAATATTCACTTGGTTCCTCCTCCTACTTAATCGCTCTGAGTTCTTTCTCTTTCTGTTGGTTATTATAGTAATTGGAAGGCATTTGTACCTCCTGCCATGTTCCCATTACCACTTCCTGAAAGCCTTAACTATGCCCGTATTGGGGATTTCTGGTGTTCCGTATAGTGGTGATGACCTCACAGGTGCTAGAGCGCTTGCCGTGGAGAGACCTAGACAGTGAGGTGAAACCTGCACCAGGAAATAGCTGGAAGATGCCCTTTTTGACACTTGCTGGTTACGATTGAATCACTTCCATAAGCAGCATAATAGCTACGAAATGAAAACCGCTGGCAGGATCAACTCTATTACTGGCCATGCTGAAAGCCACTCTCATTTCATTCCCACGATGGGAGACACACACACTGGACAGGGTCCTAAGCTGTCTTATGACTGCTAGAGTAGGCAGTTTATCCCTTTATAAATCATTTTTTAATCTTCTGTCTGCCTGGACTCCTCATGAAGGCTCAAGTGAACACAGATACCTTTTTTTTTTCTTTTTGGTTTTAGCCATAGAGTACATGTGCTTGGTGGAGAGAGACAGCAAGAGAGGGAAGGTGAGATACCACCCACCATGGCGCAGGTCGTTCTCTACCCTTCTGGGATTTTGGGTACACAAGATCACAGTAATTTTCACTATGTCTAGGACCCAAACAGTGGTCACCCATAAGGGAATCCAGCGCCTCAACCATCACGTCACTTACTAGTGCCGGACACAGCTTTTCTGTGCTCTGCTCTGCTCTGCTCTGCTCTTCTCTTCTCTTCTTTTTTTTGTTTTTCGGAGAGATTTTTGCTATAGGGCGTGTGTGCTCACTGGAGAGACAGAGCAAGCAAGAAATGCACCCTCCAAGGGGGATGGCCATGCCACCGTCCCTTCTCCATTCTGCTCTTGGGATTTGGGGCATGCACACATATGTTTGGTGTGAATTTTAAGCCACCAGGTTTGAGACTTGAGCCGCAGTGGACTATGTACAGCACTTGCTGGCCCCAGACAGTTTTCTGAAGCAGAAAAAAATGCCTCTGTGGGGCACCGTCTCTATTAACGCACATCCTGTGTCTGAACTCTCCTCTCAGTGGCATCGGCCTTGCCCTCTGCAAGCGGCTGCTGGCGGAGAACGATGAGCTTCACCTGTGCCTGGCCTGCAGGAACACGAGCAAAGCGGAAGCGGTCCGTGCGGCTCTGTTGGCCTCTCACCCCGCCGCGCAGGTCACCACCGTGCAAGTGGATGTCAGCAACCTGCAGTCGGTGATCGGGGCTGCCAAGGAGCTGAAGCAAAGGTATGTCTTTTGCTGATAGATTTTTCTCTCCCGTTTGTGTCACATAATGTTGGCGGAAATAAGGAAGGGTAAGAAAACCAGCGATAAAACAGGTGCTCTGGGAGAAGTAGTTATGCTGAGAAAATCTGTGTAGTGAGTCGTGGTGCCCGTCCTGCTTTTCTTTAGAATAAAGCAGTCATGTCAACCATTTTCTTTTGGGGAGCAGTATGTAGTTTTATGAAGCCAGAGCTTACTTGGGCAGTCTGGTGTAGTTTCTACACTTTGCTAAGCATTTCCTGTCTATTTCCAGCCAAATATAAAATAAGCAAACAGACTGTGATTTGAGTCCCAGACCTGGCGGCTTGCTTTCTTGCCTTTCCTCTCTCTGTCTCTCTTTGTCACTCTGTCCCTCTCTGGTCAAATTAAAATAAATAAATAAATGTATGTTAAAATAATTCTTTTTTTTTTTTTTTGAGAGGTTTTTGCTATAGGGTGCATGCGCTCGCCAGACAGGTAGAGAGAGACAGAGAGACAGAAAGCGAGAAATCACCCCCCGGATGGCCACGCTGCAATCCCCTCTCCTCCATTCTCCTCTCGGGATCTTGGGCATGCACGCACACGCGCCCGGCGTGAGTTTTAAGCCACCGGGTCCAGGGTGCGAACCGCAGTTGGCTACATGGGAGTCCAGCAACATAGCCATTACGCCAACTGCTGGTCCCTTAAAATAATTCTTTGAAAAAATAGACAACAGAAAATATATATGCACACATATATGTGTAGGTGTGTATATATTTGTTGATATTCTTAGATAGGAGTTGCAACTTAGATCATGGAACACCCAACAGTATGTGAACCTGCACCATCTTGGTGACACTCACATGATGACCTGAAGGTAACGTTATCAGCATTGTCAACAGTCAGTTTAGTAATTAGAGCCATTTGACTTCAATTATTTATAGAAGAATCAAGAAGTGTTTGTGATCCCCATTGGGGACCGTGTATGTATTTCAAGGCCCTAGTTGTAGTGTCCCTTACTGTCCTGCTTATACAGAGGACACAGAGAGGGTGGCACCTAGAATTCTAGATTTTTCTGAATGTTCATAGTGTCTGTGAGTATCATGAGAACAGCCTCTGCATGCCTTGAATCTAGTACAGAAGGCGCACACTTTCATTAAGCTTCTGTAGCTAAAAGTAAAACATTTCTTCATGTCAGAATCTCACAGGCTGGACAGATAGCCTGGAGGGATCCTCCCAAGAAGAACCTCCATTTCACTTTCATAATCTCATTGTATTCTCATGAACTTTCTCCATTTTAGGGTACGTAGTACCTGTCTATAAGCATTGAACGGTTTCCCCGTGGATCTTCTGTTTTAGTAGACATCTCAGCATCTAGATTCTGGATTGGTAGGGAAGGTCAGGTGACCATCAGTAGTATAAAAGTGTTACTTGTCAAGAAGGGGAGAAGTGCATTCTAAAACAAAAACTTGTCAGCTTTCTTAGAGCCGAGGAGATTGGGTTAGATAGAGAGTTGGCAGTGCCTAATGGGGAAGACAAACCTGGAAACCTGGAAGGAATTATGTGTCAGAGAAGAATTGACTTTAGTAGCTGCACCATTGTATTTGAAAGCATTGTCCAAAAAAAAAGAATGTGCATATATTTGCTATGGCTACAGAAAAGTTGCTGAGAAAAAATGTTGTACCCCTGATGGGTTATGATTTCCTTTTAGCTTGCTGTGTCCATCTGATTGTTTCAGAAAGTATTTTCTGTCTTTCTCGGGTCTTCTTTATTCTAGTCTGTAGACTATACAATCTTATTTTGGTATATGAGGGGGTCTTCAGATTTCATGGAAAACGTATATGAGAAACCTAATTCTGGATTTCAACCTTTTTATGTTTTTGGTACCAGGGTAAATTCACACTTTAATTTTATTCTCCCACACACTTTTTGTAATCCGCCTGTAGTCTGGTCATCTTGTCCTAGTGTTTTCCTCGCAACTCACGATCTTGTCTTGGTGTGTAACTTGCAGGTTTCAGAGACTGGACTACTTATATCTAAATGCCGGGATCATGCCTAACCCACGGCTGAATGTCAAAGCACTTATCTCTGGCTTCTTTTCAAGGTAACTTCTATTTTCTAGATGAAATGCTTGGGAGAGAGGTGTCCATTTTTCTGCCTCAGTTTCCCCTCAGTATGTTACTGGGGTGATGATAGGTCAGGGGAGTTTGACAAGGATGAAAAGAGAAAGGTGTTGCAACGTGTCCTGAAAAAAAGCTCTCATCTGGTACGGAACGCTGAAGTCATGGTTCTTAGGGATTTTTCAGAAAGTCAAGCTTTAGTCTTCTTGAATGTAACCATTACCAAGAATATTTATTAAACTTTTTTTTAAAATTTAATTTCTTACGTAACAATTAGAAAGAGAAAGACAGATAGACAAGCACCCTCAATGGGGTCTCACGGCATTTCTTTCTCCTCAGCCTTCCCCGTGAGTCAGGATCATGGGCGTGTGCCTGACATGTACAGGTCTACCAGGGAACTGAACCCACAGTCTTTTGTATGTATCTGGCATTGTTTGAGCAGCATGTTGCCCCTATACCATCCAACTGGCCTCAGAAAGAATGTTTCTAAATTCAGCAGAGTTCTCAGAGAGACACCTACACCCAGGAAGGCTACCCAGCAAGCATTTCCTAGTTGTATGCTCTGAGGAGTAGGTTAAGGAAATATAGAAAACAAATGTTTTAGGGATATTCTCTCTCTCTCTCTCTCTCTTTAAATTTTTGCTACAGAGTGTGTGTACAGAGTCAGAGAGGGAATGTGAGAAAGCATGCTCCTGAGAGGGATGTAGTCACTTCCTTCTCCTCCCAGAATTATGGGTATATACACACACACCCAGCATGTTTTTCAACCCACTGAGTCTGGGACTTGAACCACACAGTTGGCCATGTGGGATCCAGCACTCTGTACCATCTGCTGGACCGGGAGATTGTCAGTAATGTTAGTGTATTCCAAACTACTTAATCACACCCTAGAGCAAGAAATAGGTGTCATTTTTCATATACTCACTCGCACATGTTCTTGCTGGGTGCTCTTGGCTACACAGTAGCTTTTGCTTTACTCTTCTTCTATTAAAACATCCATTCCGGGGCTGGCAGGTGGTGCAATGGTTAAGGCGCTGGACTCCCACTTGGTTCAAGTCCCATCCCTGGTGACTTGAAACTCACACTTGGTGCACATGTGTGTGTGCCCCAAATCCCAAGAGGAGTATACAGGAGAAGGGATTGCGGCATGGCCTTCTCCCCTGGATGGGTGATTTCTCTCTTTCCGTCTCTTTGTCTCTTTGTCTGTCCAGTGAACTCATGCACCCTATTGCAAAAATCTCTTTAGAAAAATCCATTCAGAGGTCAGGATACAGTGATGAACTTTTGTAATCCTGGCTACTCAGGAGGCTGATGCAAGAGAATTGTGAGTTCAAGACCAGCCTGGCAACATAGCAAGAATTTTGAAAAAAAGAAAAGAAACCTGGTCTTGACCCTTGATCTACATTCATCTTCCAACAAAGCATGGTATTTGTGTGCTCAGTGCTCGAGGAATTCTCTGTAGAAAAGCAACCTGTTGGCTCAGCCTGGTGGCACAGTTCAGTCAACTGAACTGCAGTGCTTGGGAGCTGGCTGGTTCTGACTGCAGGTTCAGGTTCCTGGGCCGGTACATGCCCAAGAACCTGGTGAACTGGAGGATTCAGGGAAGGGATTGCAGCATGGCGAGACCTTTTTAAGAGTGTTTTTCCCTCTTCTCTCTCTCATGCATATCCACATGCTGTCTGTCATGAATAAAGCGAACAGAGGGAAAAGCTGCTTTGACTTTTTCCAGCAGCTAAAGTTACTCTGTGCAGGGGAAATCTTGTTCCCTTGGCCTAGCTATCATCACCTCAGAACTGTTTACCCGTAACCTGATGAAGAAAGAGAAGAGCACTTTATTTATTTATTTATCTTTTTATTTTTGGAGAGGTTTTTGCTATAGGGTGCGTGCGCTCACCAGAAAGACAGAGAAGGATGGAGAGACAGAAAGTGAGAAATCACCCCCCAGGGGGTATGGGCCATGCTGCAGTCCCTTCTCCTCCAGTCTTCTCTTGGGATCCTGGGCATGCACGCACACGCGCCTGGCGTGAGTTTAAGCCACTGGGTCTGGGACTTGAACTGCACTTGACTACATGGGAGTCCAGTGACATAGCCATTACACCAACTGCTGGTCCCAAGAAGAGCATTTTAAACAGGTTTCTGAGAGACTGGGCTTCCTGTTGCTAGTATGAGCTGTAAGTATGGAAGGACTTCTGTACATGGGCAAAGGAACCATTGTTGCACCTCATTTAATACTCACACTAACCCAGTCTACACCAGGAAGGTATAGTTAGTGTGTCGGGGCTGGGTTGGGGAGTGTCCTCAGTATCTTCAGTAGAAGAAGCTTGAAAAAGTTATACCATTGTCTTCTGCTATTTCAGAAGAGTGATTCATATATTCTCCACAGCTGAAGGACTACTGACCCAGGAGGACAAGGTCACTGCTGATGGACTCCAGGAGGTGTTTGAAACCAATGTCTTTGGCCACTTCATCCTGGTAAGAAGACGATGAGCTTCATAGGCCAACACTTAGAGCTGGGATCCTAAAGGCATGGGCGGATACATCGTGGTGTTTTCTTATGCTCATTTCTCCATGGTAGCAGTAAATCTTTGAGTATTTAAAGACTGTGATCACTGTACTCTTTATAGTATTTTGGTTTTGATTTTAACCTTTTTTAAGAAAACATTGCTAGATGGTACAGGCAATGAGAGAGAAAGAAATAGAAAGCAAGAAATCATCCTCCACAGGGGATAGTCATGCCATAATCCTTTCTCCTTTATGTCTCTCTCTTTTTGGGATTTTGGGCACACATGCTTACATGCCCAGTGTGTTTCTCAAGCCACTGTGTGTGGGACTCACACTGCACAGTAGGCCACGTGAGATCTAGCCACCTTAATCACCACGTCACTGGCTGGCCCTGTGGTATTTTTCAAAATGCATTTATTTTTTCTAGGAATGGAAAGAGAGAGGGACAGATAAAGAAAGGGAGAGAAGCTCCCTAACAGGGTCTTCATGCCTTGATCCATCCCCTGCCTCAGCCGGCTTCAGATTACAGACACACATGTATTCTTTGTACTCAGGAGGGTCTCTGAACACAAACCTAGAACCTTTCCATGTGGGTCAGCCTTGCAGAGCGTCACGTTTTCCCATTCTGCCACTGCCCAGCCCACTGCTCTTGAAAAATGTCGCCCCTCTAAGACAGCCTAGTGGTATGTTGTTTTTCCTTTTGGTATCAACTCTTGGGAGTGGAGGGAAAGTGGAGAAACAAACACACAGGCACCTTCAGAGACATGCGCAGAACTGAGAAAGGGGTGCCAGTTCTATTCCAAGTAGTCTTTGAAAAGAAGTTTTGCATGGGAGAGCGTGTGGGTGGAGGCAAGCTACTGGCTAACAGTTATCCATGGCTAATCTTCCATTGTTTTGATTTCTGATTCTGTAAGCATCACACGTGTGTGTTCTAGCTCCAGGCATATGTGTAAAGTTCATCAGGACAGGTAACTTCTCTAGCATGTTCTGTCTTAAGAGCAGTGTCACAGGACAACTTTAAATATCTGGAATAGTTAATGCCCTGGCTGGCCTCCTAGCCCTTTTTTATATCCACTATCATGTTTCTTTACCTTGGGCCTCGTTTCCCTCAAAATTAGACCTTGTAAGTTAGAATGTGGGACATGTGAGGAGCCAGCAGGTGGTATGGTACTGAAGGTGCTGGATCCCACTTGGCCAACCCTAAAAGAAGTGAGGTGACTATTTTGTGCTCTTGTGAGATAGCCTCCAGAATTTTATTATTAAGAAGAAATAACCAGAATGAAGTATGTGTAATATGCTCTCATTTGTATAAACAAACAATATAGTTATATGTTATGTATAAAGGTAAAAACAATATAGTTCTAGAATGATGCAAATGAAGCTGAGAAAACTAGTGGCCTTTGATTAAGTGAAGTTTGAGGTATCAGAGATGAGTGGGAGATTCATGCTTCATCTATATTCTTTCATACTGCCTTTTAAAATATTAAAATTGTCAGATGGTGTGTTCCCTCACCAGAGAGAATGAAAAAGTAAGCATCCCGTCATGGGGAATGGCCACGCCGCAACCCTTTTGTCATTTCTCCCTCCTTTTAGGATTTTAGGCATGCACTCACATGCACCCAGTGTGTTTTTCAAGCTGCTGGGTCTGGGACTCAAACTGTGCAGTTAACCTTGTGAGATCCAGCTGCCTTAACCACTGTGCCATTGGCTAGTCTTAAACTGATTTTTAAAATGATATGTGATGTTGCTATTTCAATGACAAAAGTTAACTAAAATATAAAGTTAGCATAAGATTGAAATCTTATGCAGTCATTTTTATGATTTTTGTCAAGATCCATTATCTAAAATGTCCTATATCTTAAAATTCTCTATTTGTTTTCTGTCTTTTGAATTATTAATTGTCAATGATAGAGGATTAATTCATTCATACAATTTATAGTCTGTTAATTTTTTTAAGTTTATTTCTTTTTCTGAGAGAGAAATAGGCATCCCTAACGGGGCCTTCACACCATGGTCTGCCTCCAGCCTGTGACCCCCCCCTGGATCCCCAGGCGTGCACATATGTGCCCCTGGGCAAGTATGGGATGAGCTGAGGGGGGGTCTCAGGATGTGAATCTGGGACCTTTGCCTGTGTGTCCAGCTTTTCGCAGTGTTGTGTTACTGCTGAACTGCTGTTTTAAATTTTTGATTAGTCTTTTGTTAAAAAAGTTAAATTATTAAGAAAATCAAACATTATGGTAATCCGTTTGGATTGGGGGAGTGGCGGAGGAGAGTCTTGGCTGTAGCTTCAGTTGTCAGCAGTGTCCTGGTTTACCTTTGTATAGCTGACAGATTAGCAGGTGTTTTGGAAACCATTAATCAAATAAAATAATGAAGTATCTAATACTTTCCACGCTCTTCAGAGTAGGTTTAAGATTGCTACAAAGAGGCCAGCAGATGGCATGGTGCTTAAGGTGCTGCATTCCCACATTGCATTCTGCAGTTCAAGTTACGGACCTGCCAGCTTGTAAATCAGGCCATGCACATGTACGTGCATGCCCAAAATCTCAAGAGGAGAAGGGAGGAAGAGGGATTATGGCATGGCTATCCCCCAGGGGAGGGTTTTGTTGCTTTTTCTCTTTCTCTCTTCAGCATGTACATGTGCCTTATGGCAGTCAATCACCTAAAAAAAAAAAAAAAAAAAAAAAAAAAAAAAAAAAACAAACAAACAAACAAACAAAAACACTATTACATCTTTTTTGGAACAGAAACTTATATTCTAGGTTTAAGTGCAAATGCATTAAATGAATGAATCCATCCCCAAATGAATCCATTTGATTATATGTAAAATGGCTAAACTCTTAGAATTGTCACAAAGAGTATGGATAGTTCTGTAAAGCTCCAGGCACAATGCAATATTACTGTTGATGAACTGGTAAATGATTTAATCGCATGTATCTGAAGTTTTTTAATCGCATTTGACTTTTCATTGTAAGCATGAAGCACACCTGGAAGCTTCCTAAGTAGATTTTTCTTTAATAAACAGGTTGTTTTAGAGTCGTTTTAGATGTACAGAATTATTGCAAAGATAGCACAGAGAAAGTTCCTGTGTGCCCTGTGCTTATGTTCCATAGGATTCACATTAATATGGTCCATTTGTCAAAACAGACCAATACTGATCGTTTTTATTGAAGTCCATACTTTGTTCAATTTCTCATTTTTTGCCAGTGTCCTTTATTAGTTCTAGAATCCACTCCAAGAAGTCATGACATATTTGGTTGTCAAGTCTCCTTAGGTTCTTCTCGTGTGACATTTTCGCAGACTTTCTTGGTTTCTGATGTCCTTGACAGCTTTGAGGAGTACGACTCCTTAGAGGTATTAAATGACAGACAGAGTTTTGTAGACTGTCCCTCACTTGAGACTTGTCTGACGCTCTACTTATGGTTAGACTAGAGAATGTGTTTTTGAGGTGAAGACCACCGAGGTAAAATGCCGTTGTCATCATATCACATCCAGGGTACATTCTGCCATTGTGGCTTGTCAGTGTTGACGTTACCCTGACCGCCTGGCCTGAGGTAGAGCTGGTCAGCTTTCTCCATTGTAAAACTACCCTTTTTCTTTCTCCCTTTCCATCCTATACTCTCTGGAAGAAACTCTCTCTGTGTAACCCACACATGGGGTTATAGTCCACCTCCTCAAGGGTGGATTATCTCTAGAAGTTATTTAGAATTTTCCCCCAAAGGAAATTTGTTTATTCTCCTCTGTTTACTTATTTATTTATAATATCTATCTGGAGTCACGGATGTGTGGTTAATACTTTGAAGGTATAAACCCTGCTTTATTTTCTTACTTACATTGTTCAGGTTTTGACCACTGGGAGCGCTTTCAGTTGGCTCCTGTGTCTTTTGACATACTGGTTCTCTTTGTGCTTTCACATTGAATTCCTTCGTACTTTTTGACACTACAGGGTACTTCAGACTCATAGATTTCCAGCCTCAGTCCTAGAATCAGCCATTTCTCCAAACAGAGCTGGTTCTGTTTATTAGAGAATGGTTATTAGAAACCAAGATTGGGGGCTCATTGCTATTGCAATATCAGTTGCTTTTTGGTTATCTCAGCTAGTGGACCAAAGAGAAACATGTGCACGTACTGACGTGTATGTATATTGTACATAGGGATGAATATTTTCATATGTCGCTAGTCTGAATCTGCGTTAATCGAGACATGAGTCAGTATTGATGTCTCTAACTCTACTCACCCCTCCCTTTCCTCTCTGTGATGTCCCAGTTCAACAGTGACATACCTGGCTCCCACCATCCTCCATCCGTGTACTTAATCCTTCCACTTTATTAATAATATACGTGTGAAGCAGCGTCAAAATTGTTATCCTGTGCTCCTTCAGTAGATCTTGATACCTTTTTGCTCTTTTTGTTTTTCCTCTCTGCTCAGATTCGGGAACTGGAAGCTCTCCTCTGTCACAGCGACAGTCCCTCTCAGCTCATCTGGACATCCTCTAAGAATGCAAAGAGATCTAATTTCAGCCTTGAGGACTTCCAGCACAGCAAAGGCCAGGAGCCCTACAGCTCGTCCAAGTATGCCACTGACCTTCTGAGTGTGGCTTTGAACAGGAACTTCAACCAGCAGGTACGTCATGTCTCCGAGATGCAGAGATGGCAGGGCAGTGGTTTCCTTTTCTTTCTCCTTTAAAATTCTTTTTTAATTTTAAAGGTGTGTACACTTGCCAGAAACGTAAAGAGAGGGAAAGTGAGAAATCACTCCCAGGGGGCACAGCCATGCCATAATCTCTTCTCCTCCATTCTCTTTCTTGGGATTTTAGGCATGTATGCATACACGCCTGACATGGTTTTTAGGCTTCCAGTGCTGGGACTCTGACCACAGAATCAGCTACCCGAAGATCCAACACTTTAACCTCTACACCACCTCCTGGCCCATTATTTCTTCTTCTTCTTCTTTCTTTCTTTCTTTCTTTCTTTCTTTCTTTTTTTTTTTTTTAAGTTTCTTTCTTTGTTTTATGAGCGAGGGAAAAGCACTGTCAATAGAATCTCTTGCCACAATCCTGACACCAGGCAGTAGCCAGCCAGGATCATGGGCCCAGGCACTTGCCTCGTCTGTATAGGTTGACCTGGGAGCCGAACCTCAATCTTCCATGTGGTTTCCAGCATTTCAGAGAAATGTGCCACCACAGTACCACCATGACTGAGCCAATTTCTTAGTTAACTACAGTTGATTTTGACTTCCTAGTAACATGCTGGCTTTGATTAGCTATCGTACTTTTAGACTGGTAGCTGGTAGTTATGAAAGTTTTCTTGTAGAGGTAATTGGCTCCTGACCTTTTAGGTATATGCAGGTCATTCGCCAGTTTATAATTCTTCAGGAACTCTTAATTTCTGTTAAAAGAATGACTCTTCTAACAATAACAGTAGCTGAAGTTTAAGTACTTGCTCTCTCTGTCATTTAATTCCTTCCCTGTGACAGTGCAGTAGGCCTGAGTATTCTCATTTTCAGATGAGCACACTGCAGTTTGGAGAGCTTAGGTCATTTACCTGAAGGTCACAACTTGCAAATGGTAGAACTCAGAGTTAAGCCCAAGGATTTCTGCTTCCATAGCTCAAATTTTTTCCCGCTAGACTATGTATGCTGCCTTTTAGTGTTTGCCATATCAGACATCCGTAGAACAGTCAACAGTTACAAGGCTTCTGGATAGTGATGATTTAGGGTGAGACTCCAGAGCTCTGTCTCTGTGAAGACCTGGGTCTATAGGGTGTTTCTGGAGAGGGTAATGCTAGTCAGTCAGACTGGCCCCTGTGGCCCCCAAGGCCTTTTTGTGTGTCTGTTGCTCAGGTTCAAAATCTTAACTGAAAATTTCATCTTTCCCATGTGCATTTTCTTTTGTTTGCTTTGACTTTATTGTATGAGAGTAGGACAGTGAAATTTTTGTTTGTTTTAGGTTTTTACCATAGGCCATTTGTGCTTGCTGGAAAGAGACAAAGAGAGAGAGACAGAGAGATGGAAAGTGAGAAATCACCCACTAGGGAAGATGGCCACGCCACAGTCCCTTCTCCTCCATTTTCCCCTTGAGATTTTGGGCATGTACACATACATAACCAGTATTATTTTCAAGCCATTAGGTCAACAACTCAAACCAAGTAGTTGGCCATGTAGGAGTCCAGCACCTTAACCACCATGCCACCTGACAGCCCAAGGATGGTGAAGTTTAATTGCATTAATATTTATAAAAGACCTACCATATTTAGGGCACTGGGCCAGGCTTAGGAATGAGGAGGAAAATGACATAAAACAATAAATGAGAATCTGTCTTCCCTCAAGGGAGCTTCTTTGATTGTGAGTTACACATAGTAATCTAAACCTTATGTGATGGTCTGGAATTAGTTTATTCCAGAATAGAGACCTTTATCAGATGGACTTCTGTGATTTGGCTCCTAGAATTATGCCAGTAGGATGTGCTATGGTTCAGAAAAAGGTTTACTCTCCCAAAGGTTCCTGTTCTAGTCCCCAGTGTAATGGCTTTGGGAGGTGGGGCCTCATGGGAGAGCACCATTTCATTGGCTGTGGGTATGGGAGGGACAAACAGGGAGCAGAGTAGCTGTCCTCCCTGTCTTTTTTTTTTTT